TATCCTCTACTCTGCTTTTGAGTCCCTCTAGTGAATTTTTCATTTCCAGTATTGTATTATTCATTTCTGATTGGTTCTTTTTTATATCTTCCAGTTCTTTGTTGACATTCTCACTGAGTTCATCCATTCTTCTCCCAAGATCAGTGAGCATCGTTAACACTCTTTGTTTGAACTCTCTGTCACGTAGGTTGCTCATTTCTGTTTCACTTAGTTCCTTTTCTGGGGTTTTGTCCTGTTCCCCTACTTGGAATGTATTCCTTTGCCTTTTCATTTTGCCTCTTCCCTGTGCTTGTGTCTGTGTATTAGGTAGGTCAGCTACGTCTCTTGCTCTTGGATAGGAGACCTTATATAAATGGTGCTTTAGGAGGCCTGCAGTGTACTTCCCTCAGTTCTTGATGTTCCAGGAGTGACCCCTATGTGGGCTATCCCTTCTGTTGTGGCATGGTTGCTCTCCCTGTAGGTGCCCAGGGAGGCTGAGTTATGCTCCTGGCCAGCTGTTGTAATGCTTAGCTGCTTGTAGTTGTTGTGGGCCCTTCAGTCCCTTTATCGGGTGTGGGAAGCCCAGCACAGTTGGCTGCAAGTTCTAATACCACATTTGTGTTTCAGTATTTCTTTTAAGTGAGTAGGCCCCCAGCCTGGCAGGTTGGTAGGCTCAGGGGCTTACAGTTGCTATAAGCCTCCAGCCTTTCTGTCACTTGTCAGCTCTCTGAGGATTGCAGCTGGTGGGGCTGGCCTCAGGCACGAGAGCACCCAATCGTTTCAGGCTTTGAAAGGTGGGGCAAACCCCCTATGTGGGTCTTTGAGAAGCACAAGTCTTCTGCAGCTGACACGCCCCACTGCCCACAGGTGGATGACCCCATCTGACTACAACTGCCTGAGACCCCAAGTGAGAACGGCCAGCCGAGCCAGTCAGCCCACAGACCAGGAAGGACACAGATCAAGGGTGCTAGAAGCTGCCAAGTCTGGGGGTGGTTTGCCACCCTGCAACACAGCACTAGGACGGGGGTTTCCAAAGGCTGGTGACTCATGTAGCACTCTGCTGGCCCATACTCTACTATCTGAGCTCCTGGGAAGCCCCCTCAGGGGCCACACCTGAGCTGCTCCCCTGCTAAGACCTGTCCAACCTGCCCAGCTCTCTGACCTCCTGGGCATTCCTCCTCAGAACTACCCACGGCCATGCCAGTGACAACACCAGCTCCCTCCCATGCGGCTCTATGCCCACCCTCACACAGTAAGACCTTAACTATCCTCTTCTCACTTCTGCAAGTATCATCAATGTGTTTTTTGGGGAGTCCTCCTCTAAATCACGAGAAAAGGGGAAGCCAGCTCCCGTCACAGCAGGACAGCTCAAGTGAGGCATCTTCTGCCTGTGATGATGGCTGACTCCTTAGCCTCAAGGGGCTCAAACTGGCCAAGGCAATTTCTTGAGGTTCCTTTTGGACTTAAGAACAGAGAAAGGACCCCCCAATACACAGAGGCACCTCTGGGAAAGTGTTTGCTTGTAGTGGGAAGGCTGAGAGCCCACAGGAGCCCCTGACAGCACATCCTAAGTCTCAGCTCAGGCTGACCCCTCCACAGCCTCGGGCATCTTGCCCTGTCACACAGGGCGACCACAGCCAAGTTCAGCTGTGGGGTCAGGGGCCAGTTGGGGAACCTGTAAGGCGGCTCAGCAGAGGAAGGTACACGGCTACCACACTCAAGTGAGGCCGGCGCTGGGCCTGAGGCCAGGCAGGTTAGAGACCCCTTCCACCCCATGCGCATGGCAGCCTCTCTTATGGCCCCTCTTTTCTACCCATAGCCCCCTGGCCCTCCAAGCACATCCACATCTGGGTCCACACTGGGCCTTCGGCCCTCAGGGCACCTCTCACTGTCACACACGTGCATTCTCTCCTCCTGCTCAAGCACCTACTCCCCCCAGGAAGAACCAGCTCCCCCTCTCTGTGTGCCTGTACCTCACACTGTCAGGGCACCCGAGGTCCATGCCCGGCCTGCCCTGCTCACATCTGTTTGTCCCAGACTGTGAGCTCCCTGCCTCCTTGTCTCTGCACCACCCGAGCCTGGCGAGCACTGGATAAATACCGGAGCAGGAGAGAAGGCGGGAGCCAGCAGGCGTGACACTCAGACATGTGCCATCCAGTGCCTCCCTGTGCACATCTGAATCTGGATGAGTACAGCCACACATTGTTTTACTGCGCTACACTTTGCAGATACTGCGCTTTTTACAAATTAAAGGTTTGTGGCAACCCTGCATTGAGCAAGTCTATCGGCGCCATTTTTCCAAGAGCATTTGCTCACTTCGTGTCTCTGTGTCACATTTTGGTAATTCTCGGAATATTTCAAACTTTTTCATTATCATTATATTTGTTATGGTGATTTGTGATCAGTGACCTTTGACGTTACTATTGTCATTGTTTTGGGCACCACGAACCACGCCCATGTGGCAAACTTAATCGATAAACATTGTGTGTGTTCTGACTGCTACACAGACTGGCCGTTCCCCCATCTCTCTTCCTCTCCTCGGGCCTCCCTGTTCCCTCAGACACGAGGATATCGAAATTAGGACAATTAATAACCCTACAACAGCCTGTAAGTGTTCAAGTGAAAGGAAGAGTCACACATCTCTCACTTTAAATCAAAAGCTAGAAAGGATTAAGCTTAGTGAGGAAGGTATATTGAAAGCTGAGACAGACCGAAAGCTGGGTCTCTTGTACCAATTAGCCACGCTGTGAATGCAAAGGAAAAGTTCTTGAAGGAAATTAAAAGTGCTCTCCAATGAACACAAGAATGATAAAAAAGTGAAACAGCCTTATTGCTGATATAGAGAAAGTTTTAATGGTCTGGATAGAAGATCAAACCAGCTACAACATTCCCTTAAGCCAAAGGCTAATCCAAAGCAAGGCCCCACCTCTCCTCAATTCTATGAAGCCTGAGCGAGGTGAGGAAGCTGCAGAAGAAATGTCTGAAGCCAGCAGAGGTCGGTTCATGAGGTTTAAGGAACGGAGCCATCTCTATAATATAAAAGTGTAAGGTGAAGCAGCAAGTGCTGATGTAGAAGCTGCAGCAAGTTATCCAGAAGATCTAGCTAGAATAATTAATGAAGGTGGCTACACTGGACAACAGATTCTCAATGTAGATGGAACAGCCTTATATTGGAAGAAGATGCCATCTAGGACTTTCATAGCTAGAGAGGAGAAGTCAATGTCTGGCTTCAAAGCCTCAAAGGACAGGCCGACTCTCTTGTTAGGGGCTAATGTCGAAGCTAATGCTCATTTACCACTCCAAAAATCCTAGGGCCCTTAAGAATGATACTAAATCTACTGTCTGTAATCGTCTGTTTACAACATCGTTTACTGAGTATTTTGAGCCCACTGTTGAGAACTACTGCTCAGAAACAAAAGATTCCTTTCAAAATATTACTGCTCATTGACAGTGCACCTGGTCACCCAAGAGCTCTGATGGAGATGTGCAATGAGATTAATGTTGTTTTCATGCCTGCTTACACAACATTCTGCATCCCATGCATCAAGGAGTAATTTCAACTTTCAAGTCTTATTATTTAAGAAATACAGTTTGTAAGGCCATAGCTGCCATAGATAGTGATTCCTCTGATGGATCTGAGCAAAGTTAACTTGAAAACCTCTGGAAAGGATTCACTATTCTAGGTGCCACTAAGAATATTTGTGATTCGTGAGAAGAGGTCAAAATATCAACATTAACAGGAGTTTGGAAGAAGTTGACTCCAACTCTCATGGATGACTTTGAGGGGTTCAAGACTTCAGTGGAGGAAGTTGCGGCAGATGTGGTGGAAATAGCAAGAGAACTAGAGTTAGATGTGGAGCCTGAAGATGTGACTGAAGTGCTGCAATCTCATGATCAAACTTTAACGGATGAGGAGTTGCTTCTTATGGATGAACAGAGAAAGTGGTTTCTTGAGATGGAATCTACTCCTGGTGAAGATGCTGTGAAGGTTGTTGAAATGACAACAAACAATTTAGAATATTACATAAACTTAGTTGATAACACAGCGGCAGGGTTTGAGAAGATTGACTCCAATTTTGAAAGAAGTTCTACTGTGGGTAAAAAGCTATCAAACAGCATCACAGTCTACAGAGAAATCGTTCAAGAAAGGAAGAGTCAATTGATGTGGCAAACTTCACTGCTGTCTTATTTTAAGAAAATGTCACAGCCACTCGACCTTCAGCATCACCACCCTGATCAGTCAGCAGCCATCAACATGGAGGCAAGACCCTCCACCAGCAAAAGATTATGACTCACTGAAAGCTTAGATGAAGGTTAGCATTTTTTGGCAATAAAGTATTTTTTAATTAAGGTACGTACATTGTTTTTTTAGATATAATACTATTGCACACTTAATAGACTACAGTATAGTGTAAACATAACTTTTATATGCACTGAGACACCAAAAGATTCGTGTGACTCGCTTTATTGTGGTATTTGCTGTATTGCGGTGGTCTGGAACTGAACCCACAATATCTCTGAGGTCTGCTGTATAAGACGGGGGCACAGAGCTTGTTAACCACAGGGACTACTCTGCCCCTGGGGCCTTGACCCTGCTGCCTTGGATCTGACACCACTTCCCCTCCACAGAGGCCACCGCAACACTTTCCTTTGGCTCTTCTGTTCTGTTGAGGGCACACCCAAAGGCACTGCTCACTGTCCTCCTTCCCTCATAAGTAAACTCAGGCACGGCTCTGCACATGGCTTGCTCAACACCAACCCAACCCTGGACTAGGCTCAACTTTAGTCCTGAGCCTGGTAAGTGCCTGACTAGCTGTGTGACCTCAGGCCACCCCAATAACCTCTCTGGGCCAGACTAGTCCAGCAAGGCTCTGTCAGGCTACACTGCGTTGACTCTCCTCCAGCTGGGACCCAGCTCCAGCTGTCAGGCACACCCACCTGGTCTTGACTTTCAAGGGTCTCTCTCAGCTGTGACTGCAACAGTGTCAGACTCTGACATTCTTGATTCACATGGTCAAGTTCAACTTCAAGTTTTTGGATTTGGTGATCCTGTTTTTAAAAAATCAATTTCACAAGAAATATCTTAGCAGTGTGAAACATGTTTAATGCAGAAAATTATAGAAAAGCAAAAATTACAAAATTGACATCACCCACGATCCCAGCAGCCTGAGGACCACACCTGGCACTGAGTGATCTGTGAGCCGCTCCTCTGCACACCCACGCTTCTGTCGGGCAGACGGGCATGGCCCGTAGGTGCTGCTTTCCTCCTCATGTCACCTTGGGCATCGCCCGTGACATTAGGTGTTATTTGGAAACATGACTGTTAATAGCTGCACCATAATTCATTGACTCATTCAGTATTGTTGATGATTCAAGCTGATTCGAATTCTGTTTAGCTATTATAAATACCACAGCAATTAAAATGCTTCCAGCTACGTCTCTCCACAGTGCTCAGGTACAAGTCTCCTAAGGAGAATTAGGAAGTCAGAGTCTACTGACATTCTTGAGGCTCTTGATATATACTTTGCCAAACAGTCCTCTGGAGAGGTCATACCAGTTTACTCTCCTACATCATGATTTAATCCCTTTCTGCAACTTTTTCTAGAAATCAGGGATTTGCAAAAGCTGCTGAAGTCTGCATATTTTCCAGGGCACGTTTGTTAAGTCCCTCGCTTTACCTGCAGGGTGGTGCCACCTCCAGGTGTTTTAGGGCTGCTCATGACCTGTTCTAGGCTTTCTCTCCTCCACTGGCCACTCACCTGCAGCCTCTCCCGGCGGCCCCCCTCCTCCAGTCTCTGTGTTAAAAGCTGAATGGTGATGCAATTCTCATTTTGGGCCTGATGGGTAGAGGCCTCCTCTCCTAGCTGAAGGACCCTCTGGTTGAGCTGGGACAGTTCATCGTTGCATTTCTGACTCTAGAGCAAAGAAGGTTAAAACACAGATGAAAATGTTATTTTTTTAAACCAACAGCTCAATTCAGATCATTCCAGTGGTTCCCAACCAGGGACGCTTTTGTTCCCCATGGGCCATCTGGCAATGTCTCGAGACGCTTTTGGTTTCCACACCCGGGGGAGGGACTGCTACTGGCGACTAGTGGGTGAGGCGCTCAGCATCCTCCACTGCGGAGTGAGCCAGCCCCAAATGGCCATAGTCCCAAGGATGAGGAACCCTGCTCTGACCCCTAGAAGAAATGAGACCCATCTGGACTGCCAGAGGGGGTTAGATGCCACAAAATCTGAATCACTGTTCTGAAGACCCTTCATGTTTTTCTCATTTCTTCCACGGATATTTCTAACATTTTAAGCAATTTGAAGGAAAATACCCTAATTAAACTTGAGTTATATGAATTTCCTCTGAAATTCATATGAGTTATATGAAAATCTCCTGGGACCTTTGTCATTAAACACACAAACATAGTTTTCAGCAAGCGGTAGGTGTTGAATAAATTGTTTATTTTGCTTTTTCTCAGCAGCCACAAGCCAGTAGATGGTGGACGCCCAACAATGCTCACTGGACAGATGAGCAAATGCACTGGGAGTCGAAACAGTGACTAGAAAGTTGGCTCTACAGTCTTTCACCATGGAAATTCCAGTTATTTTCAACTGTTTGTCAAGAACATCTTCCTATAAACCACATTTTTGCTAATTTGATTTTTTCCACAGCAGTCAGTTGTCAAGGCCGAGGGGACGCAGCCTCAGGTGTCGTCAGAGGGGCGTCCCTGACCTGGCCCCAGCACTGCCAGCGCCACAGCCCCCCACCCCCTCCAGGACTGTGCTAACAACCATTTCACTTTTCTGTTTTTGAGGGTTAGATAAGCACATAACGGACCTTGAAGTTGTTTTAACTTGGGTTATTCCAGCTTAGCTGTCTATACATTTTTCTCATGATGATTTCTCGTTTTCTTCTCTGTAAATTAATTGTCATCTTGTCCTTTCCCTGGAACCTCAGAACTGTGGGTAAAGAGGTGTTTCTGCCAAATCATACGCTCACGGCAGTTATGTCTGGGATAGAGCTCTCTTGTGTTTATTACACTTTACTGTGAAAATCAGAATTGTTGTTCAATACTGATACACATTCAGCTTCTCCTCTGAGAACAGCCTTGTTTTCATTAACAGCCAAAAATGGAATCTTCCTTCAACTCCTGGGATCAACACACTAGTTGATTTTCTTCTATTCATCTTTCCGATTTAAAGTCTTTGTTTGGGTATAGTTTCAAACTCACAGAACAGCTGCAAGGCTATTACGGAGCTCACCCCTGCACCCTTTCCCCAGGCTCCCTGGCTGACGGTGCTTCCCGCCCACGTTGCGTGGGTGTTCTCCGTGCACGCACACATGCACACACGTGTGCGGAGGTTTCTGGGCAACAGCCCCGCAGCGTGTTTCCTAAGAAGGGGTGTCTGCTCACATGGCTGCCACGCAGTTCTGGCTTCAGGACGTGAACCTCGGTGCAAGACCCGTGGTCCAGTTTCGTCAACTACCCCATGCTGGCCTCTGGAGCGACCCCTGGCCCCTGACCAGGTAATGTCTTCACCCGTCAGGTCGACTTGGCCTCTGTGAATGTGGAATCTGTCCACAGCCCCTGTCTTTTATGACACTGATGTTGTGACAGATGCGGTCCCCCTCACTCCTCTCTCATAGTTCCTCATTTCAGGGTTCCCTGTGATTAGACTCAGGTGACTCAGTGCAGCCAGAGCACAGCTCAGGTGCCGCTGTGTCCTCCTCAGGGCATCACGTCAGAAGGGCGAGGTGCCATCTGCCTCTTGGTGTTCGCATCGATTGCCTCTTTAATTTCTAACTTGCATTCATCTGGGTTTTATTGCAGGAGGCCATCTGAGATGCTAGTAGCTATCTCCTGGGCCCATTTTAAGACAAATGGATATTTGTGCTAAATGTGTTTACTCTGAATCTGATCAAGCCTTTCGGCCTAATTTCCAGTTGATAAGAAAAACAAGGGACAGAGGACCACATTGAATGAATCAGGAAACAGCTGAACAGATTCAGAATGTGGGATGACCTATGAGACAACTGCCAGGTCTCTTCAAAAAGTCAGCGTGGTGGGGGAGAAACAGGTGTTCTAGATTAAAAAAGCTGAAGATATTGCAGCAGGCTGTATTTTCTAAAGATGTCTAAAGATGTCCTCAACAGCATCTCCCATCCCACATCACCTTCTGCAGTGTGACCTGGACATTTGCCCACCAAGAGGAGCCTACATCCCCTCCCTGGGGCTCTGTAGGGTGCTGGTGAGGGTGATACAGAGTGATTTCTGAGGTGGGCCAGAAGCCTTGCAGCTTCCACTGGGTGCCCCTGGAACACTTGCTGTCTGATGCCTCCCTCAGCACTCCCTCTAGGAGCCTAGCCCCACAGAGAGGATCCCCTAGATGATTCTGGCCCCAGCCATCTCAGTCACCCCAGCTGTCCAGTCTTCCCAGCCAAGGCCCTGATGCTGAGGAGCAGAGACAGGCCGTCTGCTGTGCCCTGTCTGAATCCCTGACCATAGGCTCTGTGAGCACAACAAAGTGACTGTTTTACGCCAGTAAATCTGGAACAGCATTGATAGCTCAAATAATGGGTCAACCTCAACTGAATTTCCACAAAATTTACTATATAAAACATTTTTGAATAAGTGGAGAAATCCTTAGGTAATTATGGTGAAGTTTCTTAGGTGTGTAGCAGTACAGCGGTTAGGCAGAAGGTGTCCTAATGTTCAGGAGATGCAAACTGAAATATTTAGGAGCAGAATATTATTATACCTGTAACTTACTTTCAAATGGTTCAGAACACACACACACACACACACACACACACACAAATAAAGAGACAAATATAAACAGATAACAAAAGCACAAACTGCAATGTTAACAACGATCAAATTAGGGTTGTGGTATGTGGGTGAACAGTGTGTACTGTTTCAACTTTTGTGTGTTTCAAGTTTTTCATAATAAAAAGCTAGGGGAAAGAAAACAAATGGATACCTATAATCCATTTCCAAATGTGTCCTAGAGATAAGCCAGGAAGGGGAGAGGTGAGGCGGCCACTCTGGGCCCAGGGAAGCCCCAGACAGGTCAATTACACAAGAAGCTGGTCCTCAGGCAAATGCAGAATCTGATGTTTTCACCTTAAATCAATCCATGAATTTTCCTCCTGATAGAGAAAGCCCAAGCAAGGCCACCACGTAGTTACACAGAAACGAACACCCAAACTTGGGAGCCAAGACGTGCCAGCCGCCCGCTAGTGGTCTGAGGCACTCTCCAGGGCAGACCCCGCTCTCATCAGCCCTGCGTGGGAAGAGGCAGTGCCAGGAGAGAAGAGCTGTAGGGACTTATCTTGGAACAGAGCCGGGGTTTGAGAAGCAGAAGGCAAAAAAACCCACTCCTGTGAGTGAGTTTAGCAAGGTGGCAGGATGCAAGATCAAGACACGAGAATTCAACTGTATTTCTTTTTTTTTTTTTTTTAAAATTTTTTTTTTTTTTTTTTTTTTAAAGATTTTATTTATTTTATTTTTTCCCCCCAAAGCCCCAGTGGATAGTTGTGTGTCATAGCTGCACATCCTTCTAGTTGCTGTATGTGGGACTCGGCCTCAGGATGAACGGAGAAGTGGTGCCTCGATGCGCACCCGGGATCCGAACCCGGGCCGCCAGCATCGCAGCGCGCGCACTTAACCACCAAGCCACAGGGCCGGCCCTCAACTGTATTTCTGAGTCCTAATGGTGAACATGCAGAAATCCAAATTAAAAACATGATACTATTCGGGTTTCTGGTCTGGCATGTGAAGAGCTTCCAAGCCATCGCCCCCATCCTACCAACAAGAAAAAGGCTGAACAAGCTGAAAATCAACAACTCCTCTTAGCTCCATTAGAGAACTGAGGTCACAGGGCAAACCAACACCCTGAAAACTGGAGAGAGAGGCAGAGAGAATCACAGCTTCCCAGGAGCAGATGGCTGAAGCCTGAGACAGGAAGAGAACCTGGAACTCCAAGGAGAAGGAGGCTCCTTCAAGCCAAGCAGAGAGGTCTCAGAATGGAATCAACCCTGCTGACACCTTGATCTCAGACTTCTAACCTTGACAACTATGAGGAAATAAATTTCTGTTGCTTAAGCCACTCAGTCTGTGGTATTTTGTTATGGCAGCCCTAGCAAACTAATACAGGTATTATACTATAGTTCTGTAAAATGTTACCATTGGGGGAAACTGGGCAAAGCATATAAGGGATTTCTCTATAAGATATTTCTTACAACTACATATAAGTCTGCAATTATCAATAATAATTCCAATTGAAAAAACACAAAGATGACACATCACAGCTTGTGTGCTTCCTCCTCAATAATTTAGTCCAAAAGCCAGTAAATGAGACCAAGCACAGAAGGTTTCTGTGTATGGGAGCAAAGGGAGGACCAGTGTGGTGGTCAGCACTGAAACAGAGTGAGAAGGGCGTTTATGCATGGGGTCAAGGGAGCTTGATCAAATAATAAATAAATACATTGAAGATGATGGAAATCAGATTTCTCACTGTTAGAGGTACGAATTACAAATATGGAAAGGGAGAAAACTAGAATTATCCTGGTGATGTTGGGCAGGAACTGCAAATATGGGTCTGAATTCACTGTTTTCAATATAGAGGGATGTATAAATAAACACACTTGAAACCATGTGCACGTGATTGTATGTATGTGTATAAACACATTTATTCCCTAGCTCTATCCACTAATTGCTCCTGGAAGCAGGGAAGCCCAGGAGCAATGAGCACATCTAGTGCCCAGATCTTGGTCTCTAAACAGCATTATATACTAAAAGTAACGAAGGGCTTCTTGGACAAATGGCTGATTCCAGGGCTGGCGCAGGGGAAGTATTAGATGAACCTGGAACACCTTGGGGTACCAGAGTGTAAGGATGTGCTGAAAGAATGATCAGGACCTGTCCAAAAGACCCAGAAACCACCTTGAAGGGGCTCTCATTGGGCAAATCTGAGACAATGTGAGCATTAAAATAAATACTGATGTTAACCTATAACCCATTGAATAAAACAGGAATCTAGGATAGTAATATGATGTAAATGAATAAATGAATGGGGAGAAGAGAAAGCCTTCCTTATACTAGAATACCAATTAATAAATAAAAAGGAATGGTGGAATTAGTCACCATTTGGCTATTATCATAGTAATAGTTGATTCCACCAAGACACAAAAGATGCTACAAAAGTGAGTGAGCATTTGATGAAGAACAGGATATTTACATAGCATCAAAGTATCTATCCATAAAATACTCACTAATTACAAAGGGAAAAGTAATTTCACTGTGGAGAAGCATTGCCAACACCACCTAACCAAGAATCCAAGTTACCATCACAGTAATGGGACAAATCATTGCACCCTGGGACAGGATGAAATGAGAACACAGCATCCCTTTTGGGATATTCCTGCCAAAGATGCATAATGTAAATCTAATCACAAGGAAACATTAGACAAACCAAACTGAGGGACTTCCTACAAAATAACTGCCTGTCATCTTCAAAAGTGCTGAGGTCCTAAAAACCAAGGACAGACCCACCAAAGGAGACTAATGCCACACACGGTTCTGGACGGGGTAGGAGGCTCAGACGGCAGGCTCTACCCACACTGATTTGAGGGGTGTGATGAGTAGGCAACTCACTCTCAAATCTTTCAGGAAAAAGTTCTGTACTTCCTTTTTTTAAGTTTGAAATTATTTCAGAATAATGAAAAAAGGAGGGTGGCAGGAGTTTCACGCCCGGTGTCAATACTCGACCTGTGTGCTGAGCGCTTCCATTCCAGAGCAGGCCTTTTCTTTGTCTCTCTTTAAAGCCTCAATTTCCTTCCTGTTGAAGAAGCAAAATTAACAATGTCACTCTGACCAACTAGCTTCTTTCTTTCCCAGTCGTCGCCCATTGCAACCACAGTGGCTTGGATTTGTACACCTGCTCCTGGTTCACTACAGCCACCACTGCTACTGTTCTACACTATTGCTGCTACTGACGATGGTGGTCCAATCCGGATCCCAACCCTCGGAACTACTCTTGTTCCTAAGAGTAGTTACTAAGTAACACTAAGTAAGTGTTACTCTTACACTGCCAGTATCATAAGAACACATATCCTCTGTGACACTCCTCAATCACACACATTAATGTTTCCTCAGCAAAACACGCAACTGTTTACACCCAGCAGCATAAAGACCAAAACAGCCTCACATCCACTGAGGTCTGCTGTCAAAGGGGACACTGTTGTCAAACTTACGCAAAAAATGGTTTCCAAAGAGAAAAAAACTTAGATTTCAGAAATGCTGTAATATAATAGCAATCACTTGTTGACTGCCTGCTTTGGATTCCATACTGTAATCGCCATGGCAATTCTATCAAATCAGCACCAGATTATCAGCATTTTAGAGCTGAGCTCATCTTAAACTTCACAGTTGAAAGAAAAAGGCCAAACAAACTGTCCTTGGATACGGCTACAGTAGTGACAGCAGAAATCCACTGAGAGGTATTCCTTGCCCTCCTCTACCACACACACTGTCTCCTGCCTCACGCTCAGGTCCCTGCCCCCTCCCTCTGGCTCTCACGGATGGGCATACCCCAGCCCCTCTCATGCCTCCCTTGTGCTCAGATCCCTGCCCCTCCCCATTCCCACCCCACACCCATGACTCTGACTCACTGAAATCATAGATTAGAAACAACCTTCGGAGAAAAGCACAGCTGACACGATGATTAGGCCATAAACAGATTCTACTTACCCAGGAAGGCCCCAGGAGCACCTCTTACCACTACAGAAACACTTGCTGCCCCTCCACTTGGCGTGATGTGAAGTATTTCTGTAGGGGTGAGAAGCACTTGCCTGTCGACTTCAGAGATAAGCAGGCCTGTGCTGGAGCTGCTTGCTGCGGTGCTGACCACGCTGCAGCATGCACACTCTTGACCTCTTACTTCTGGCACCAAGGAGCTCAGGAATGAAGGTGGCTGCCAACATCTGGAAGGAGCCCTCCCATGCCTATCAAGGCTGGTCAGAGGTCAGCATGGCTCACCCATGGGATGTGGGGTTGATCTGTGAACGCTGCCCACTTTCTATAGCAATACCTTTACAGCTCATTCTACAAAGAGCAAAACGTTATCGTAGGTGCAAGATCTGGGTGGAACCACGGAGACAGGGCCCTTACCTCTGTGCATCATTTGTCTTTTCTGCAGCTTCAAGCTCTTGCTGCATCGTTCCCCGCTCATTTTTCAACAATGTGTTTTCTTCAGAAAGCCTCTCCAACTCAATTCTGTGTGAAAAATTGAAGAAGAGTGGGAACTCCTGAGCTGGCCGCCCTCCATAGCCCCCAAGTCTCGTCTTGCAGTTGGAAGTCATGGCGATCCTACAGTCTACCTTTCCCCTCCCTAGGTGACAGCACAGGGCACATTCCTCCTTTTCCTTTTCCTCTATCCAGGGTTAACACGCTATGGTTTGCATCTCCCAAGAGACAAGCTTCAGAAAACAAAGCTTTCTCAGCTTCTAAAAGTCACACCATCAATAACTCACTAATGTATCCAGCACCTTGGTTCTGTTTACTTTGTGTTCACCACTGACCTGTTCCTGTGTCTTATAATCTCTAACCGAAATATGTGTGTCCCATGGTTGGTACCAACACAAAATGAGTCCTCAGGTTACTACAAAGGATATTCACCCCCACCAGTGGACTCCAACATGGAGCTAAGAAACACAAGGACTCAGAGCACCAAAACACATGGCTGCATTCTCCTCTTTGGTGAGACCCCCACCCCATCCTACACTCTGAGGTCCGCACTAGGAGGAGAAACCTGGGAAGATGCCCACGTCAATTTATGTGGAGAGACCTGATGCAAGGTGTACCCTCCAATGGGAAAAAGCCAGTATGAACCGCTACTACGTGCACCTAGCCCGCCTGGAGCCGCCTCTGCTTTCCGCCGACTCTCAGCGAGTCTCTGCTCAGGCAACAGCACCGACATACAACAAACGAGCAACTTACCAATCAAGATCATATGTGAGGCAGTTCCAAACCCACACTTGTTGCCCAGAGAATTTATTCTTAATACATGTTGGTCTGGCTGACATTTATTCCCCCCAATAAGGTCTCCATCTGCTATTAGCTTCTAATTTTTTCAATCTAAAAATACGCAAAGCCGTATGATCTCATCATGTTTATTTTATGTATTGTGCTTATAATATCAAGCATAAAGTATCTCCTTCATAAGCATAAGTATGACTTCATTTTATCTCATAAGGATCTAAAGAGAAAAATAAAGAAATAGAGGTCGTTGGAATTTTAAAAGCAACAAAGGGCTTCAAGCAGGGGAGTGAAACAAACAAGGTCTGTGGTTTGAAACTGTCACTCTGGCTCCAGGATGGGAAACAAATTGAGTCAAGTCAGCTGTGTGTGAGGGGGTGTTTTACTTCCAGCTTCCTGGTCCTCAGACAAGCTGATGGTTGCCCCACCCCATCCCCTACACTCACCAAACAACTAGAGCCTGTGTGATGCTGATCATACAATGTGTGGTTGCCCTCACAGAAGGTAATGCAAACCACATAGGGCCCCCAAACAAAACAAAACTCTGGAAGCTGAAACCAAAGCTGTGGGCATTAAGCAACACAAAGATGGGGTTACCCTGAGGCCAATGCCCATGTCAACACTGCCATCAGCAGCATGGAGAAACTGCACTGTGGACACCTGCTCTAAGCCAGTGCCCTGGAAGGAGGTTAAAGTGGTCCCAGATTAGTAGGCCCCCAATTCTCTGAAAAAGAAATACACATCCTTTCTGCAGAAAGCAACCTCTACTACCACTCCCACGAGTCCCAGAAATTACCATCAAGAAAACAAGAGCTCACAAGCAAAGATCACCAAAACAAACATGAAGAAAAGCCACAGGAGAGTCAGCAGAAGCAAAAACAACACAATTAGATTCTGTACGACCCTCAGATATTGGAATTATCAGACACAAACTGAAGATAAATATTGTGAAATGTTTACATAAATAAAAGATGGAAATAAAAAAATTAACAAGAAACTATCAAAAGTGATCAGACAGGACCAAATACAATTTTTGGGAAAAAAAAGTCTGTGTCAAAATAAAAAACCACTGAATGAGTTAAACAGCAGATGAGACACAGCTGAAGAAAGAATTACTGACCTGGAACAAAGATATCAGAAAAGTACCCAGAATGTGACAGAGAAAAGAAGATGGAAGATATGAAAGAAAAATTGAGAAATGGAAATGAAACGATCTAACATCATACCTCTAATTGGAGAGGATAATAAGGAGACAAGATTTTAAGAATAATGGCTGAGAGTTTGTCATAAGACACAAATCTATACATTCAATAGGCATGATATTTTCTAAGTAGGATAAGTAAAAGGAAAACCACACCTATTCCCTATAACCCAACAATTCCATCCAGGAACTTTCTTAGCAGTACTATCTGTGATAATCAATAAGTAAAAACTACTCAAATGCCCATCAACAAAATAATGAATAAACTGTGGTATAGTCGCACAATGGAATACTCCACAGCAAGGCAAATGGATGAACTATAGCTATAAGCAACAATATAGATGAATCTCACAAACATTTGTTAAGCCAAGAAAGCCAGACACAAAAGAGTACACATTGTGTGATTCCTTTATATAAAGTACAAAAACTGGCAAAATCAATCAATGTTGTTAGAAGGATGGTAGTCACTCCTGGGGGACTTTGGGGAGTTCTAGTTCTTGTTCTGGATGCTGGTAACACAGATGTGGTCAATTTGTTGAAAATTCTTCTAATTGTACATGTATGTGTATTTTTCTTGTGTATATAGCACTTCAATAAAAAGTTAAACAGAAATATACAGCTAAACACACCAAAGAAAAACCACAAAAGATAGATGACCTACTATGGGAGGCAGAATAATGGTCTCTGAAAGATGTCCACGTGCTAGTCCCCAGAACCTGTGAATATGTTACATTACATGGCAAAGGGGAATTAATGTAGCAAAGGAAATTAAGGTTGCTAATTAGCTGACCTTGGATGGAGAGAGTGTCCTTATTATCCAGGTGGGCCCAATGAATCACAAGGGTCCTTAAATGTGGAAGAGAGCAGCACAAGAGTCTGTGTCAGAGTGATGTGATGTTAAGGAGGACCGACCAGCCACTGCCAGCCTTAAAGATGGAAGGGGGCCATGAACCAAGGAGAGGAGTCGCCGAGAAAAGCTGGAAAAGGCAAGAAAAGAGGCTCTCCTATACAGCCACCAGAAAGGAAGGCCACCTGGCCAACATCCTGATTTCAGTCCAGTCAAACTCATTTCAGACTTCTAAGCTCCAAAACTATAAAATCCTAAACTTGTTTTAAGCCACTAAATTCGTAGTAATTTGTTACAGCAGCAATTGGAAACTAATGCACACATGAAGGAAAACAATTACAGTAACTACTCAATGTCAACAATGGAATCTGGAAGATAGTGAGTATGTTCAAAGGGCAGAGGACAGCCCGTAACTGCTAACATAGATGTGTGTTCCTAGGAATACTATCTTTCAGAAATGGAGGAAAATTTGAGATTTTTTCAGATAAACAAACACTAAAGAAATTTACTCCAAAGAGAGTTTCACTAAAGGAATTTCTAAAGGCTATACACCAAAAAGAAAATAGTCCTATAAAGAAGGCATGAGATACAAGAAGAAAGCTAATCATGGGAAAAATCAGGCATCCAAATTGAGGATCTTCTGCAAAACGCCTGGTCTTGATTCTTCAAAAATGTCAACGTCCTACCAAAACTGACTCGTGAAGAAACAGAAAGTCTTAACAGACCTATAACTAGTAAGGAGATTGAACCAGAAAGCAAACACCTCACAACCAAGAAGCAGACAGCTTCCTGGTGAACTCTATCAGACATTTAAAGAATTAACATCAACCCCCAAAATCCTGGGGATGATGAAAGTTTTGGAGGTGGATGTGATGATGGTTGCACAACACTGAATGTTTAATGCTACTTACACACTTCAAAATGGTTAAAATTATCAATTTTATGTTATGCGTATATATATATATATATATATATATATATATATATTGTGTGTGTGTGTGTGTGTGTGTGTGTGTGTGTGAGAGGAAGATCAGCCCTGAGCTAACATCCGATGCCAATCTTCCTCTTTTTTCTGAGTAACATTGGCCCTGGGCTAACATCCATGCCCATCTTCCTCTACTTTATATGGGACGCTGCCAAAACACGGCTTGACAAGTGGTGCGTTGGTGCGCACCCAGGATCCGAACCTGCAAACCCCAGGATTCCGAAGCGGAGTGTGCGCACTTAACCACTAGGCCACTGGGGCTGGCCCCTATGTTATGTATATTAAAAGTCAATGTCCATTAACAAAAAAATTAACTAATTAAAGACTGATACACTTAGATTAAAGGATATTAAAGAAATATCATAACTAAATACATAGCATGATCCTGGACTGGCCCTGGGGTGGGTGAACAATCTATAAAAAACATAGTGAAACAATTGGGAAATCTGAATGTGGGGTACAAATTAAAAAAACAGCATTGTATTCCTGTTAAATTTCGCATGTGTGATAATGATATTGTGGGAATGTGGAAGAATATCATTGTTCTTTCATAATAAGTGTCATCATGTCTGCAATTACCTCAAATGACTCAGAAAAAGAAAAGGAAGGGGCGTATGTGTGTGTGTAGAGCAAGAAGATGGCAAAGGTCACCGTGGACGAGGCCATATGGATGTTCAGACCATTCGTGCTGTTCTCTAAATTGCTGGCAGAGGGGCCGGCCCTGTGGCTTAGTGGTTGAGTTTGGCGTGCTCCGCTTCGGCGGCCCGGGTTTGGTTCCCAGGCATAGACCTACACCACTCATCAGCCATGCTGTGGCGGCGACCCACAGACAAAATAGAGGAAGATTGGCACAGATGTTAGCTCAGGGCAAATCTTTCTCATCAAAAAATAAAAATAAACTGCTGGTAGAGACTCTTTCACAATCCAAATCTGATCCTGTCACTCTCTGGGCTTTGCTTTCTTTTACGAAAAAGGCCCAAATCCTCACCATGGCTTCCAAGATCCCGCAGGTCTGACCTTTGCCCAGCCTGGAGTCTTGCGGCTGTTATGGGTTTGGGGAGGCAGTCCCACGCGTTCATCTATAAGTGGCCACGAGGGCAACACACTGGGAGTGTTGGCTGGCCCACCGGCTGGTGCTGGTGACAGACCTACTCTCAAAGAGTGGGAGCCGGGGACTTGAGGTCCAGCTTGGGGGTAGGGGATGC